GGGCTGGGCCGGGCTGGGGGGGAGACCGCAGCGGCAGGGTGAGATACGGGCGTGGAGCGAGTGCGCGAGAGACGACTGTGGGAACGAGCGACAGAGAAAGAGAGCGACGTCCTCCTCAGACGGGAGCCACCTGGGGCGGGCCTCGAGGCGCCCAGTGCCGTGGCGGGCAAAAGGGCCAGTGAGAGTGGACGGCGGCCACTGCAGCCGTTCCAACTCGAGCCTGCCAGTGCGAGAACGCAACGCGGGCGGGCATGGAACCTGGAAGTGGGCAAAATGGAGGATGGTGGTTCGGGGGGGAGGGGCGCCCGGGCTGCGGGCTGCTGATGAGGCGCGCTCCACTAAATCGCAGGTGGCCTTGCCGCTAACCCAGGCGTGCCCTGCTAAAGCCACTAGGCCCGGCGACGGCGTCAGCGAATGGACGGGTGCTCGGCCGCTGGCTGGCGGGCAGGCAAATGGAGGGCTTGATGCAGTCCGTATCGTTGCGCGTCCCGTCGGCCCAGTCTGCTTGCTTGCTTTCCTGCGTGCTCGCTGCAACTGCTGGGACGCGCAGCGGTGGAGGCTGTCAAGGTTCGCAGTCGAGGTACCTACTGTGCCGCACAATTGACGCTGCAGGCGCTGTATGCAGTACCAAGGCGCTGCAAGCTGTGCTCTGCCCCGAATGAGAGCGAGGGCCTTGGACTTCAGGGCATCCAACAACGGCCTGGAGCTCGTACTGCAGGCAGGTCGACGACGCAGCGGTCGCGCTTCTCAACTCAACCTTACCTTGATGCTAGAGGTACCCTTCCCTCCTAGCGAGCATCAAGGAACCGGCGGTACCTGACGCCACGCAGCGGACTGCACCCAGGGCAAAATCCCAAAAACTCAAACGGCCAGCTGGGTGTTGGCGCCGGGCGTGTTTCGTCAGCGCACCCCAAGCCGGCCACCACCGACCGCACCGCAATGCACTGCAGTCCCCTGACAAGCCTGGCACTGGCTGGCCCGGCTCCAGGCGGGTGGGTTACCTGACCCGGGGCCGGCAGGGTTCCATTGCCATTGCACGCGACGGGAACCTCGAGGGCCTCTCAGCGTCGAGTCGAGTCGAGGCTGTCTCTTATACACATCTAGATGTGTATAAGAGACAGCTGCAGTCCCCTGACAAGCCTGGCACTGGCTGGCCCGGCTCCAGGCGGGTGGGTTACCTGACCCGGGGCCGGCAGGGTTCCATTGCCATTGCACGCGACGGGAACCTCGAGGGCCTCTCAGCGTCGAGTCGAGTCGAGGTGGGCTGAGGTTCCGCGGGTGGCCCGACGAGGGCCTCCGGGTTTGCTCCATGCCCCAATCGTACGGCAGCGATCCGGAGTCTCCTATCTCACAGCTCGGCATGTGGCGATGGAATCGTCTCGAGTCGCAGTGTCGCGTGGAGGTACCACCTACGTAGTGCCTGCCAAACAACCTTGCAACGAACGCGGCTCAACGGCACCTGGGTCGCCCGTCTTAGAAGCTGGTAGCACCGTCGTTGGATGTAGCTTCTGTGCATGCGGCTGGCGCACGGTACGATTCAGATAGCTGAGGTGGTCACCATAGAGGCCATGACCAGCGAGCCCCCAGGTCCCACCATCCCGTGCCGTCCACAGAGCGTTGACGTCGGTGCTGCACCGTATTACTGTATTGCCGCGCACGCGCAGGCCAAAGACCGTCGGTCTTCAGCTGGCGGTTTTGGACCAGCGATGCTGCGTCACCGCGGGCGGAAGTCGGAGGATTTCCGATCGGTTGTGCTCGCACGCCACAACGAACCATGGCCGCACAAGCAGTCAGCTTTTAGCCGTCAGACGCATTCATACATTGAAGCATTACAACAACTCCATCCGGTCCCGACCGGCAGGCGAGCCTCTGCCTCCGCAGTAGCATCCGCCGGGGTTTGTTTGCTTCGTGGATGAAACGGGCGGGACCGGCATCGTCACAAAGACCCCAGCAGGATCTGTCGGTGAGCCCGATGTTCAGTGGCCTGCCAAGGAAACGACGTCGACGCATCTGTAAGGAGTTCGTAGAGAAAGACTCTACTCCGCCAGGAGTGCGGGTTCAAAGGGTCAGCGTGGCTTGACATCAGTTCAATGGTACCGTATCAGGTACCTCGTTTTCCGCGCTGCATCGCCGAACGTCGAGTTACGTAGCCGTGCTTTACGCGGCCGGGCCCATGGAGACGGCACTCGATGCCGGGCCAGGCGACGCATCGTCGACCTCATTGGACGGGACCAGGTGCTCGCGGCCGGCGGATGGAGTCGAAGCGCACCCGTTACGGGGACGGAGGCTGTGCAGAAGCCCGGACGCGCTGTGTCTCGCGGGCGAGAGAGGAAAAAAAAAGGGGGACCGTGGATGCCAGCCATGCCAGCCATGCCCAATCCACAGGCGGCGGCTGAGGGCCCTCACCCCCCCGGAAAACCTACAACGCAAACTCCCTCAAAGCATCGTCAGAAGAACGGCCGAGCATGGTGCGAGTCTCGCAGGTCGAAAGGGGGCCCCGTCGAGAAGGTGGCGTCAAGCGTGGTGTGAGCGAGGGGGCCTGCACGACCGGGACTGGGGAGAGGCCAGCCAGCACGGGGCGGCGGGACGCACTGGGGCGAACGAGGACCGGCGGCGAGGACGGCAGGACGGGCACTGCGGATCCGAACCGGCGCCGACAATTCGCGCGCCAGAGACTGGTGTCCTTGCCCGTTGAGGCAGCTCGGGGCTGACGGGAGGGGGGGATGGACGGGTTGGTGGATGTGCCACGAACGAACGACAGACGCACCGGGGCTGGACGGACGGGACGGGACCAGCACAGGCCACGGGCTGGGGGTGCTGGTGGTGCTGCATTCGCGCTCGAGGTGGGTGGCCCCCGTCCTCCCATATCGACGGCGGTGATCTAGACGAATGGAACGAATGCTGATACGCAGGACCGCGGCGGCGGACCTGGGCTGGCGATGATCGACGCGGCATGCACGGTTGGATCAGGCTCGGGCAAGCAGCAGTGTTGTGCGAGAAAACGTGGCAGGTGGTTTTGCCCTACCGACCTCCATATTCGGTACCTACTAGGTAGGTACAGCACGTACGTTACACACGTCAATACCTGGAACTCCAGGCGTGTGCAGGGCAGTGCCCCTCCGTGCTGGCTGCCCAGTGGATTCCCCGGCGCTCTGGGAAGAACGGGCCGCCTGATCCACGACTGCTAAGAATAATACAGTTCACACCTCGACCTGTAACCTAATCAACATTGGATGACATGCTGCCTAAATCTTGCTAGAACCTGGACATCTGGAGTCAAACTCACCCCAACACAGGGGAGTCTGCAATATAGGGAGCCCGTACCGGTCCCTCGGCGCAGGGTCCGATGGCCAGGGAGGGCACCCACCGGGGCATTGCATCACCGTGCCGCCGCCAAGCACCCGCCCGCAACCACCAACCCCGGTGCCACTTGTCATTCGGGAGCCAGACGAGTTTCTTCCCAGTTGACATCATGAGGGGGGTTTGACGTGCAGCGTTTCGTTTCGGCACTGATCAAGGTTGCATTGTGCCGTCGCTGCTATTCTCGCCCTGTCCCGTCCAATCCATGGACTTTCGTCATCCCGACATCCAGTCCTGACGGTCAGCCGTTTAGACGAGGATGGCGGCACAGCCGGGGGACCGACGCCATCCTGTCAGACTCGCCCAGACAGACTCGACAGCGAGGCTGCCCCGAGCATGCTCCGAGCACGAACCCCGAGGCCACCACGCTTCAGCGCTGGGGCAGAAAAAAGGAATGCCTTTGCAGACGGGACTTGCAACGCTTCTTTTGATTCCTCAACATGCAGCGCCTCAATTGGTCGGCTGGTTGCCCTCGCGCTTCGGCAACCGGAACCTGCCACCCCCTGCCGACGGGGCCTGTCCGCATGGCTAGTCCTGTCTGCATTGACGCTTAGTTTCCTGTCCCCAACGACGCCCAGCCACGACATGCCACAAGTAAGACTGGCCTTTGAAGGCGCCCATGTTCGAAATGTTCTCGATGCTCTTCTGCTCCACCTGCCACCTGTCCATGTCGTCTTCACGAAGTCGTCGTGAGCAGCCCCCTACGTCACACCTCGGGCCAACTACCTAGTAGCATGGGGCTTGTTCTCGACGGTCACGGCGGTTGACGTCGGCTCCCGCGTCGTTCTCGTCTCTTCAGCCTGTCGCCATGCCGCCTCCGGTCCCGGTCGGTCGCACGACGGAGCCGTGTTTACCGGGCCCAGACGCCGACAAGTCTCCACGGCTCATCGGCCGATGCCTTCCCGCCCTGGGACGGGCTGGGGGCAGCTCGGTCGTGTCGCACTGCACGACGCCGGCTTGCATGCGCGTGGCATGGGCCAAGATATGGCAGGGGCAGTGCGAACTGTACGAATACCTATGTGTCGCGGAAAGGAGACCTGGCGGTCCTCTTGTTATCTCTCGGGTCTCACCAGATTGCTTTCCGTGCTGGCTCGTGGCTCACCGCCGTCCAATCCGTGGGTTGAATCAAGAGCTCCCGATACGCATCACCCGACAAGATAACGTGCACACGGGGATTCAGTAGAACATCCAGATCTCCCAGTAAAGACCTGCAGCATGGACTGCTGGCGAGCTGGCCATGCCATTTGTGGCTGCCGCAAACAAGGGTCGAGCTGCTGGTGTAAGCGGCCACGGACGTTGCTACGTATGCCCAAGCCCAGACTTGGCCCAAGCTCCAGCACGGGAGGGTTCCTGCGCCGCGAAACTGTCATTGAATGCTTTCCGGGGCCCGTGAGAGGCTCAAGCTGCGAACCTCACCTCCGTTCACCTGGCTCACCTGCAGCTCACCGGCTTGGCGGGCGGGACGGCCACCGCCCCGCCAGCGGGCATGGAGCGCCAGCACTGAACAGCCCTGAAGCGGGCTTGGTAGAGCTTGAGCCCAGCGGACGGGCTGCCCCTGCCCCGCTGGCCATTGGCGTCCCGTCGGCTCGACCCCGCCATCGCGCCCCGTTTGCCCCTCCTCCCGCCGCCTGGACTCCAGAAGCCGATCCCACCTGCGCAAGGCTGAGGTGAACCTCGCAGCTCCAGCAACATCGGGTGCCGCGCAGCTTCACCTGCCTCGCAGCCTCGTCCTCTCCCGCCACCCACACCATAGCTGCTATCTGAATCTCTACACGCTCGACGCCATTCCGCATCGAGCCCGGCTGCTCATGGCTGCCTCGGAATCGGTCTGGGCCTTTGTCGCCAAGGAAAACGGCGACGACGGCGTCATCGTCAAAGGTGCCGAGCCGCCCACCTCAGCAGCAGAGCACATCCAAGCTCGGTGTGCTCGAGTAGTCCCGCTAATTCAGGCCAACCCAGATCAGCCAAAGCTCGATCTCGATCTCTACATCCAGAATTACAGAGGTACGTTGCCGTTGCCCGTACGCTGGCCGTGTCTACAGCTCTGATCATGTCTTCTTTGCCGCAGGCCGAACCCGGTTCGAGCGACTTCTCTTCATCGGCAAGACATGCATCCCACTATGCGTCGAGGCTCTCAAAGCAGCCGTCAGCGAGGCCAAGAAGGGCTCGGACGTTTCCCGCTATAAGGAAGCTTGGGAATGCATCCGGCGAGCCGCCCCAGACGAGCCCGAGGCCCAGCGTGACGAAGCCTGGATAGACCGCATGGAGGCGGCAAACAAGGCCGAGACGGCGCGCCTCGAGGCAGAGCTCAAGGGCTACAAGAACAATCTGATCAAGGAGAGCATCAGGGTATGGACTATGAACCCCAAACACATCTTTCCCCAGGTCAGCATCGCTAACTTTGTGCCGGGCAGATGGGCAACGAAGACCTTGGCCAACACTTCGAGAACATTGGAAGGCTCGAGGCCGCCTCTGACTACTATTCACGGATGCGCCAAGACGTTAGCACCACCAGGCACATCATAGACTGTGGCCAGCGTCTCGCCAATGTCTCCCTCGAACGCAAGGACTGGCACATGGTCTTGACAAACATCGGAAAGGTTACTAGTCTGCCGGGCTCAGGGCTCGACCCTGCTACCGACCTTGACGCGTTTGCATATATCCAGACCATTTCAGGGCTTGCATGGCTAGGCTTGGGTAACTACGCCGAGGCTACAGCCCGGTTTCTCAATGTGCCAAATGAGATCCTTGCGAAGCCCAGCCTCATCTCAAGCCTCGCGACACCCAGCGACATCGTCACCTATGGCAGCCTGACGGCCCTGGCCAGCCTGGACAGGGAGCAACTACAGAAGAACTGCCTCAATTGCTACATGTTCCGGCCTCTTTTTGAAGCAGAGCCGCACCTCCGCAAGGCCCTCAGCCACTTTGTCAACGGCCGATATTCCAGCTGCTTGTCGATACTGGAATCCGCGCGCTCCGAGTACCTGCTCGACATTCACCTTCACAAGCACGTCCCGGCACTTTTCGCCCTCATCCGGAGCAAATGCATCCAACAGTACCTCGTTCCCTTTTCCTGCGCCACCATTGAGAGCTTGGAGGCTGCTTTTTGCAAGCCGGGCCAGTCCATCGAGGCAGAGCTCGTCGAGATGATTCGCGGCGGAAAGCTCAATGCGCGCATTGACAGCAAGGAAAAGGTATGTCGCTGTTCTCGTGTGGTACCAGCTAGTTGGAATATGCGACTAATGAGGCCAAATAGCTTGTGATTGCTGTTCGCCCTGATGCGCGCACCGAGATGCAAGCCGAGGCTCTCAAGGCAGCCCGCGAGTACGAGAAAGAGGCCAAGGAGCGTCTCCGGCGCATCAGCCTCGTGAGCGCCGGCCTCGAGGTTGTTCCCGCAAAGCGGTCGCACGACATAGCGCCTGGAATCAGCCACGATGAGTCCTGGTTTGAAGAGAGCCGGAGCCTCGCCTCGGCTGGCGCAGGCCCCGTCGAGGGCCGGGGTTGACGGGGGGCGCTCGGGCGACTGGGAACTGGTCGACCCTGAAACCTCATTTCACGAAATGACGAACCGGCAACTTGGCTACGGACCACGGTTGCAGTCTCACAGTACATTTGACGGAGTGGTGGATACGGAGTCTGCCCAAACGTGCATCGTCGTCAGTTGCGGAGGCTTAGAGCAGGAATGCATGCGTTTCGCAGCGAGGAGACCCCAGACGGGCGGGCCTAGAGCGACAGCCGCAGCCCGCTTGCTCGGCACGCTAGACCCGGGTGTTCAGGGGCCCGGTTATCACGGCATCCAGACGCGTTGCATTTTGGCGGTGGCGCATTCACAAGGACACACAGCATAGATACTGTAGCAAAGCAACTGCCATTTTCTGTCTTTCTGTTCTTGAAACCAACGGCCCGAGATGCCTCTTTTGGGGTAACTCCCCCCCGCGCGCGTGCCAGATGGGCACCAAGAGCAAAAGGTCAAGATAGGCTCTGTAGGTAATCTACTGTAGTTTACAATACAGGACTCGTGAGATTATGTTTCGTGAGATTGTGTCGTGTCGCGAGGCCAATCGAGGAGCTTCCTCCAAGCCCCCCTTCGCTTGGAGCCGCCCTCCCCCCACGGTATTCTTCTTTGCCGCATGGGTTAGTAGTGGGTGGTTTGCTTCGTTTCTTTTCACGATCTGTGCTCGGCCCCGCATGCGGGGATTTTGGTGAGATGACGATGACGACGACAGACGCCCTTTCCTCGATGCGTTCTCCGGTGAGGACAACAGCACAGTACCTGGGGAATAAAGTGTAGTGGACCAGGTACTTGGCGCATGTGCAGGGAGTTGAGTTGAACGTCAATTTTCCAGCCTGGGGTATCATTCATGTCGCGCGTCCTGTCGACCCGTTGCTCGCTGGCTCATCTCAGCGTCCGCTGCCTTTGGCCGGCCGTCATGTCCTGGCCCTTGCGATGGGTGCGTACCTCCCGTACGGCGCCGTTCTCTCTCGCGCTCGTGTCTACATCATACCACAGCGCTCTGGTCTCGCAAAGCAGGGAACGGATCTGCTCCACCGCGGTCGAGGCCGTCCTGATGCTTCACCGTCGCTGCTGCGCCTCCTTCTGGCTCCCCATTGCGACGTCCAACGGCAGCTCCCGTCCGCACCCGGAACAAGGAAGGCGGGGGGCGCGGCGCGCGCGAGCAACCAAGCGAGGGGGCCGGCAGGCAAGCAGGCACAGCCCCGATCGTACGGCACCGGCCCCATGAAACAGAAACAGCCACCCTCATCAACCCATCAGCTGTCTCAGGTCCTCGGGCGGCCAGCGGACCTGCGAAAAGGTGAGGCAGCGCTTGATGCTCTGCAGGAACTTGCGCGTGACCTCGTCGCCCATGACATGGCCCTTTGCGCCGTCGTGGAGCTTCTCGCGCGCGCTGCGCTCGTGGATGCCCACCATGGTCACGCCGATGGGCCACGCCGCCTTGCCGATGCTCAGGCGCAGGTAGCCGTTGTTGGCGTCGACATAGCGGCGCTCCTGGAGGGCCTTGACGATCTCGACGATGGGCTCGATGAGCGAGTCGTCGAGGTCTCCGGCCTCGAACTTTCGGAACAGCTATCGGGCTTGTTAGCTTCTTGCGCTGGACCGTGCGATGCGACCTGCTTTGCGGGGGGTGGCTATGTAAACGTACCGGCTTCATGTTTTCTCTCGTCTGCACCATGGCGCTGTAGGCCGTCTTACTAGCCGTCGTTTCCTGCTTCTCCTCCTCCATCGCCCGCTGGTACTCCGTCAGGACCATGGTAAAGTAGCTCGCAAGCTGCCTAAACAGCCACTTGCGCCCTTCCTTGTCCTGCGGCACCGAGCCATCGACCTTCATGTCCTTTGCCTCGACCAGCTGGAGCGTCGTCGGTATCGGTCCGTTGGTGACCACCGTAGTGAGCTTCCTGTACCGCCGCAGCCGCGCCGCGTGTGTCTCCGCGAACAGCCTCGCCGGGTGCCCAATCTCGCGCAGCTTGTCCAGCAGCTCCTCGTCGGGGATGTCGCCGGGCGCGCCGCCGACGCCCTCCTCGACGTCCTCGCTCGTCGCCTTGACCAGCTCCGGCAGGCCGAGGCGCTTCCTCCGCGCGCGCTCCTCCTCCGCCTCCTGCTCCTCGCGCCGCCGCCGCGACTCCTCGGCCAGGCGGCGGCGCTTCTCCTCGCGGGCGGCGCTCTCGGCCGCGGCGTCCTCCTCACGCTTGCGCTTCGCGGCGGCCTTGGCCTCGCGCTCGGCCTCGATGGCCTTTTGCTCGGCTATGTAGGCGGCCTTGCGCTCGGCCTCGACGTCGGAGCGCTTCAGGAACTTTTTGCCATCGTCGGCGGGCTTCTTGGACTTGGCAAGCTCCTTGTTCATAAGGGCTGCGAAGTCCATGGTGGCGTCGGGGTGCCTCGCAGGCGGCGCTGTGGTGGGTATGGTTCGGATTGGCCGTTTGCCCGCCTAATAGGTCTTCGTATCAATGCAACGAGAGGTTACGACGTGGTTTTTCGTGTGTTGGATGGTGATGGTGACTGTCAAGGTTGGTGGTGTAGGACTGTAGGTGATGATGTTGCCTCGCGGGCTATCGATTGCGGATATTTACCGGAGAAACTGCTCTGCCCACCTTGGCAGGCGCATCTCACGCCGCTTCAGTGCGAGTCCAACATATGCTTGACAGCTCACGAACCGAGACGATTTTCACAGGCATTACCGAGAGACTACATTTCCTCACGAGGGTACAATATATTCACAAGTCGCCTGGTACACACTTCCGCCGCCATGTCTACCGCCTCGGAGGACGAGCGCGATCCGCCCGCGCCGTTTCTCGTCCAGCTATTCTACCGCACAGGCGCATTCCATCGGTAGCTCCCCCACGTCCTCGCTGGCCCTCGGCGGCACCACCGTTCCGTAGCATACTGACGAGTCGTGTTACATGCCCGAGGAATTTGCATCGCCATCCTTGCCACCTCACATTTCCGTCTACACGTGGCCGCAATGCACCCTTTGCGAGCTGGCCATGGAGCTCGCCGCCGCCAGGCCGTCTGCCCTGCCATATCCCGCCGTCGGGACGAGGTTAGCCTTCCAGCTCGTGTACCCGGACCTGCGCAACATTGGGACTGGGCCCAATGCGGTGCCGCGGTTTGCAGTGAAGGATCTCGGCAGCATCGTCCTGGGACAGGGACTCCCCGGGTCGGAGACCTCAGAGCTGGGCGACACATCGGCCAGACAAGACCATGAAATTGGCCGCACATTAAGCGATGCGCGGTTTGTGGTAGGGGACTACGTATCTTGCGCCGTGCTTCCGCCACTGTCAGACGGTGCCGTTGCGCCAGCGTCGAACGCGAGGCCCATTGCGCCGACAGTGAGAGACAACCGGGGGCAGCGCGGGGGATTCCTTGGCCGGGAGAACGGATTTGGCCGCGGTGGTGGTCGTGGTGGCAGGGGGGGGCGAAGGGATGGACTCGGCGCCTCGTTTCCCATGGGCGAATGGAGGCGAGGGGAATCATTACCGGACGCGCCCTCGGGTCGAGGTGGCCGTGGCGGGCGTTGGTGATCCGGTTCGGTCATCTTTTGGAGGATCCGCAAGGCGCAGAGTGTACACCCGGCGCAATATACCCAGGCAAAAGGAAGCCATGTAGCATGTTTCAACAATGTTGATTCTTCTGACCAGCCCCTGCGAGGACGGTCGCCTTTATTCCCTCCCAGCGCATCTTGTGATATGTACAGAGCTTACACGCCCGACCAGTCCTCCAAGTGGCCCTCTATTTCTCGTAGGCGGTGTCGCCCCTTCGCTTCGCACGCAGATCCCAGAGGCCCTAAATGTTGTCAGCACCCAGTCCGTGGATTCGCGCAGGCCGGTCCTGCCGTCACCAGGTGGTCCACTCACGTCCGTCTTGTACGCAATGTACCCGCAGATGGCGGGGATGACGGCGACGTAGATGAAGGTCAATCTCGCGGTTCTCGGCGTCCATCGGAAGAAGTGGTGGCGGTTCTTGGTCATCGCTGCGCTGGTGCGTTAGAATTCGGAGTGTCCTGCGTCGGGGGAGGGCTGTCCGCGGATGGATGTCACGCACCCTGCAGCTTCAGCAGCGCCGGGTCCGGCTTGACGTCTGCGGAGGTCCTGTCAGCAATTGAAAGCGAAGGGTCTCGGGGTGCCAATTGGACGTACTGAGGTGCGCCATCTTGACGGTTGTGCGGCTGGCGGCTTGGATGATGCTTCTGGAGACTCGAAGTCGCGATGGGCGGGATGGCTTCGACAGAAGTCGAGATGGTGATTACCTAATGAATTCGGCGCCCTGCTATTGGCTGGTTCTGGGTGCCGCTCTGGTTACCCTGAAGCTCCGGCTCATGGAGAATGAGCGTGGATCACGTAGGAATATGTAATTCTAAGATTGACTTCGTGCTCATATTCTGTTCATGGGATTCATGATTGTCGTAATCATGTATTTTCTCTCAGCTTCGGGCGTTCTTGACTAGACGCTCTTTCCACATGAGATCAGCATGGCTGGGATTGAGCAGCCATAAGGGACCACGATACCAGGTCCGACCGCGTATCATCTTCATCACAAGTACCGGGCTACTACGGAACTCGCAAAACACTCCAAGCCCCTCAATAGTGAAAGTACTACACGGGAACTATTGCTGTATTACCCTCTAGCTGACAAAGTGGCAGAGGGTTGGAGCTGTACGATGTATGAGACGCTTCAAGTCACGTGACTGAAAAGTGGACCCCCTAGCTCAACTCGCTGCTTCAGAAAATTGTCCGTCGCGACAATCACGTCGCCTCTCGCTGCATCACCACCACGCCACCCTGTCGTCGTCGTGTGTCCTCGCGAGACCGGCGCACTTTCCATCTCGAACCGTCGCGATCCCGAGATTGATAGCCTCTCGAAGCCACGGACAGGCCATCGAGGGTTCCAACGCGTTGAAACACGCGCCGCGGCGTGTCGCCATCGACTGGCCAGCTTGACGATTTACTTGTTCCATCGTCGTGAGCCATCATGTCGCGCGCTCCTCCGCCTCCGCCCCCGGGCTGGGGCCCGCCGCCTCCTCCTCCGCCTCCTCCCTCCTCTTCGATACCTCCTCCCCCGTCGGGAGCTGCGCCGCCGGCTCCTCCGCCACCGGGGTTCCTCCCTCACGCCGACCCGCAGATCGCCAAGTTCGCGCAGAAGAAGAAGGAATGGATCCGACAGCAGCGAAACAGATTTGGCGAGAAGCGCAAGGCAGGCTTCGTGCAGACGCAAAAGGCGGACATGCCGCCCGAGCATCTACGCAAGATCGTCAAGGACATCGGCGACGTTTCGCAGAAGAAGTACACCAACGACAAGCGAAGCTACCTCGGCGCCCTCAAGTTCATGCCTCACGCTGTCATGAAGCTCCTTGAGAACATGCCCATGCCCTGGGAGTCCGCTCGCGAGGTCAAGGTGCTCTATCACGTCAACGGCTGCCTGACGCTGGTCAACGAGATCCCGCGCGTCATCGAGCCCGTCTTCTTCGCGCAGTGGGCGATGATGTGGACTTTTATGAGAAAAGAGAAGGCCGACCGACGACTCTTCAAGCGCATGCGCTTCCCGCCCTTTGATGACGAAGAGCCGCCCCTGTCGTGGTCCGAGAACATCGAAGAGGTCGAGCCGCTCGAGCCGATTCAGATGGAGCTCAACGAAGAAGAAGACGAGGCAATCTACGAGTGGTTCTACGACCACCGCCCGCTCCTAGACACCTCGCACGTGAACGGCCCGAGCTACAAAACTTGGAACCTTACACTGCCTCAGATGGCCGCGCTCTTCCGCCTGAGTCGACCGCTCGTTTCTGAGGTTTTCGACAAGAACTACTTTTATCTGTTCGATCTCAAGAGCTTCTTGACGGCCAAGGCGCTCAACGTTGCGCTCCCGGGTGGGCCACGCTTCGAGCCACTGTACAAGGACATCGACCCGAATGATGAGGACTTTGGCGAGTTCAACGCCATCGACCGGATCATCTTCCGCGACCCGATCCGCACGGAACTCCGCGTTGCTTACCCGTTCCTGTACAACTCTCTACCCAGGAGCGTGCACCTGTCCTGGCACTCTTACCCACAGGTCGTGTTCAAGCGAGCAGAGGACCCCGACCTCCCGACATTCCATTTCGGCAGGGACATCAATCCTGTCTCGTCTCGCACCGTGGCGCCGAAGAACGTGGATGTATCCCACGAGGACGAGCTCTTCGGCCCCGGAAACAACGAGGAAGCGGAAGGCGAGGAATTCGAGCTTCCTGCAGACGTCGAGCCTTTCCTAGACGAAGAGGAGCTCGAGAATGAGGATACCTCGTCGGCCATTGATCTGTGGTGGGCGCCATACCCGTTCAACCGCCGCTCCGGTCGCATGGTTCGGGCCCAGGATGTGCCCCTCGTGAAGCAGTGGTACCTGGAGCACCCCCCCACCGACAAGCCTCCCGTCAAGGTCCGAGTCTCGTACCAGAAGCTGCTTAAGAATTTCGTCCTGAATGAGCTTCACACGAAGCCCCCCAAAGCCCACAACAAGCAGAACCTGTTGAGGTCACTGAAGCAGACAAAATTCTTCCAGCAGACCTCCATCGACTGGGTCGAAGCTGGTCTGCAGGTCTGCAGACAGGGTTTCAACATGCTGAACCTCCTGATCCACCGCAAGAACCTCACGTATCTCCATCTTGACTACAACTTCAACCTGAAGCCTGTCAAGACGTTGACAACAAAGGAGCGAAAGAAGTCCAGATTCGGAAACGCGTTCCACCTGATGCGAGAGATTCTGAGATTGACTAAGCTTATCGTCGATGCGCAAGTCCAATACCGCTTGGGCAACATTGATGCCTTCCAGCTGGCCGACGGCATTCTCTACGCATTCAACCATGTCGGTCAGCTCACCGGCATGTACCGATACAAGTACAAGCTCATGCATCAAATCCGAACCTGCAAAGACCTGAAGCATCTGATCTACTACCGCTTCAACTCCGGGCCGGTCGGCAAGGGCCCTGGCTGTGGCTTCTGGGCCCCCGCGTGGCGTGTCTGGTTGTTCTTCATGCGCGGCATCATCCCACTCCTGGAGCGATGGCTCGGAAACCTGCTGTCGCGCCAGTTTGAGGGTCGCCACAGCAAGGGCGTCGCTAAGACCGTGACCAAGCAGCGCGTGGAGTCCCACTTCGACCTGGAGCTTCGCGCATCCGTCATGGCGGATTTGATGGACATGATGCCGGAGGGCATCAAGCAGAGCAAGGTCAACACAGTGCTGCAGCACCTGTCCGAGGCCTGGCGATGCTGGAAGAGCAACATCCCCTGGAAGGTCCCCGGCCTGCCGGCCCCCATCGAGAATATCATTCTGCGATACGTCAAGTCAAAGGCAGACTGGTGGATTTCCGTGGCGCACTACAACCGTGAGCGTATTCGACGCGGCGCCACTGTCGACAAGACTGTGGCGAAGAAGAACGTCGGCCGTCTTACTCGACTGTGGCTCAAGGCCGAGCAGGAGCGTCAGCATAATCACATGAAGGATGGACCCTACGTGTCTTCGGAAGAAGCCGTGGCCATCTACACGACTACCGTGCACTGGCTCGAGTCTCGCAAGTTCTCGCCCATCCCTTTCCCCAGCGTCTCCTACAAGCACGACACCAAGATCCTGATTCTTGCCCTGGAGCGGCTGAGAGAGGCGTACTCGGTCAAGGGCCGCCTGAACCAGAGCCAGCGTGAAGAGCTTGCCTTGATCGAACAAGCCTACGACAACCCTGGTACGGCCCTGGAGAGGATCAAGCGCTTCCTGTTGACGCAGCGGGCGTTCAAGGAAGTCAACATCGACATGAACGACAACTACAACACCATCAACCCCGTGTACGACATCGAGCCAATCGAAAAGATCAGCGATGCCTATCTGGACCAGTACCTTTGGTACCAGGCCGACCAGAGGCACCTGTTCCCCGCGTGGATCAAGCCATCTGACTCGGAGGTGCCGCCGCTGTTGGTGTACAAGTGGGCCCAGGGCATCAACAACTTGAGCCAGGTGTGGGAGACCGAGAATGGCGAGTGCAACGTTATGATCGAGACGGAGCTGTCCAAGGTCTACGAGAAGATGGAGCTGACGCTGCTCAACTCCCTGCTGAGACTGATCATGGACCACAATTTGGCCGACTACATCACCGCCAAGAACAACGTTCAGTTGACATACAAGGACATGAACCATGTCAATAGCTATGGCATGATTCGTGGTCTGCAGTTCTCAGCGTTCGTTTTCCAGTACTACGGCCTGGTGTTGGATCTGCTGCTGCTCGGCCCGCAGCGTGCCAGCGAGATTGCTGGCCCGCCGCAGGGTCCCAACGACTTCCTGCAGTTCCGGGACGCGGAGACCGAGACTCGACACCCGATCCGTCTGTACACTCGCTACATCGACAAGATCTGGGTATTCTTGCGATTCACGGCCGAGGAGTCTAGAGATCTCATCCAGCGGTTCCTCACGGAGCAGCCCGACCCGAACTTTGAGAACGTCATCGGGTACAAGAGCAAGAAATGCTGGCCGAGAGACGCTCGCATGCGTCTGATGCGACACGACGTGAACCTGGGCAGAGCCGTATTCTGGGACCTCAAGAACCGTCTCCCGAGATCTGTCACCACAATCGAGTGGGATGACAGCTTTGTCAGCGTCTACAGCCGCGACAACCCCAACCTGCTCTTCTCCATGTGCGGCTTCGAAGTTAGGATCCTGCCTAAGATGAGGAACAAGAACGACGAGTTTCCGGTCAAGGACAGCGTGTGGTCCCTGGTGGACAACACAACGAAAGAGCGGACGGCGTACGCCTTTTTGCAGGTGACAGAAGAGGACATCAACAAATTCAACAACCGCATCCGACAGATCCTCATGTCCTCTGGTTCTACGACCTTCACCAAGATTGCCAACAAGTGGAACACGGCCCTCATCGCACTCTTCACGTACTACCGCGAGGCCGCTGTATCCACCGTTGATCTGCTGGATACCATTGTCAAGTGCGAGACCAAGATTCAGACGCGAGTCAAGATAGGATTGAACTCGAAGATGCCTTCTCGATTCCCGCCGGCTGTGTTCTACACGCCCAAGGAACTCGGTGGTCTGGGCATGATTTCTGGATCCCACATTCTGATTCCCGCCAGCGACAAGCGTTGGTCGAAGCAGACAGACACCGGTGTTACGCACTACCGCGCTGGTATGACGCATGATGAAGAGACCCTGATTCCTAACATCTTCCGATACATCATCCCCTGGGAGGCCGAATTCATCGACTCCCAGCGAGTCTGGACCGAGTACTCGCAAAAGCGCGAGGAAGCAAACCAGCAGAACCGTCGCTTGACGTTGGAGGACCTCGAGGACAGCTGGGACCGCGGTCTGCCTCGCATCAACACCCTGTTCCAGAAGGATCGCAGCACGCTGAGCTTTGACAAGGGCTTCCGTGCTCGGGCCGAGTTTAAGGTCTACCAGCTCATGAAGAGCAACCCGTTCTGGTGGACTAGCCAGAGGCATGACGGCAAGCTTTGGAACCTGAACGCGTACCGTACCGATGTCATCCAGGCGCTGGGTGGTGTCGAGACGATTTTGGAGCACACCCTCTTCAAGGCCACTGGATTCCCCTCTTGGGAGGGTCTCTTCTGGGAGAAGGCCTCTGGATTCGAAGAGTCCATGAAGTTCAAGAAGTTGACCAACGCCCAGCGGTCCGGTCTGAACCAGATCCCCAACCGTCGTTTCACTCTGTGGTGGTCGCCGACCATCAACCGAGCCAACGTCTACGTTGGTTTCCAGGTGCAGCTGGATCTCACTGGTATCTTCTTGCACGGCAAGATTCCCACGCTCAAGATTTCTCTCATCCAAATCTTCCGAGCCCATTTGTGGCAGAAGATCCACGAGTCCGTGGTGATGGATCTTTGTCAGGTGTTTGACCAGGAGCTCGAGTCGCTGGGCATCGAGACGGTGCAAAAGGAGACAATCCACCCCCGAAAGTCGTACAAGATGAACAGCTCTTGCGCCGACATTCTGCTCTTCGCCAGTCACAAATGGAACGTCACGCGACCGTCCCAGCTTCACGACACCAAGGACGTGATCGAGCCGACGACAACCAACAAGTTCTGGATCGACGTCCAGCTGCGGTACGGCGACTACGACTCTCACGACATTGAGCGTTACACTCGCGCCAAGTACCTGGACTACACGACGGACAGCGCCAGCATCTACCCCTCTGCCACCGGTCTCATGATCGGCATCGACCTGGCCTACAACCTGTACGCCGCCTTTGGCATGTACTTCCCCGGCCTCAAGGTCCTGGTCCAGCAGGCTATGGCCAAGATAATGAAGGCGAACCCTGCGCTGTACGTGTTACGTGAGCGTATCCGCAAGGGTCTGCAGCTTTACGCGTCTGAGAGCAACCAGGAGTTTCTCAACTCGCAAAACTACTCGGAGCTCTTCAGCCAGCAAACCCAGCTCTTCATCGACGACACCAACGTGTACCGCGTCACCATCCACAAGACGTTCGAGGGCAACCTGACCACCAAGCCCATCAACGGCGCCATCTTCATCTTCAACCCTCGAACGGGCCAGCTGTTCTTGAAGATTATCCACACGAGCGTGTGGGCGGGACAAAAGCGTCTGGGCCAGCTCGCCAAGTGGAAGACGGCCGAAGAAGTGGCAGCCCTGATCCGATCGCTGCCGGTGGAGGAGCAGCCCAAGCAGCTGATTGTCACGCGAAAGGGCCTGCTGGATCCGCTCGAAGTCCAGCTCGTCGACTTCCCCAACATTTCCATCCGGGCGTCGGAGCTGCAGCTCCCGTTCCAAGCGGCGATGAAGGTCGAGAAGCTGGGTGACATGATTCTGCGTGCGACGGAGCCACAGATGGTGCTTTTCAACCTCTACGACGAGTGGCTGAAGAGTATCTCGTCCTACACGGCGTTTTCTCGTCTCATCCTCATCCTGCGAGCGCTGCACGTCAACCCCGACAAGACCAAGCTCATCCTGCGTCCGGACAAGACGGTCATCACGCTGGACCACCATATCTGGCCATCGCTGTCCGACGAGGAATGGATCAAGGTGGAGACGCAGCTGCGAGACCTCATCCTCAACGACTACGGCAAGAAGAACAGCGTCAACGTGTCGAGCCTGACGAGCAGCGAGGTCCGAGACATCATCCTGGGCATGGAGATCTCGGCGCCGTCGATGCAGCGGCAGCAGGCCGCCGAGATTGAGAAGCAGCAGCAGGAGCAGCAGCAGCTCACGGCCGTCACGACCAAGACGCAGAACGTGCACGGCGAGGACATCATCGTGACGACGACGTCGCAGTTTGAGCAGCAGACGTTTGCGTCCAAGACGGAGTGGCGCACGCGCGCCCTGGCGACGGCGAACCTGAACAAGCGGACCAAGAACATCTACATCTCGTCGGTGGACAACGACATGGATGACATGACGTACGTGATGCCCAACAACATCATCAAGAAGTTCATCACCATCGCCGACCTCCGCGTCCAGGTCGCCGGCTACCTCTACGGAGCATCGCCGCCCGACAACGACCAGGTCAAGGAGATTCGGTGCATCGTCATGATCCCGCAGATCGGCGGCCTGCGCAACGTGCAGCTCCCGCAGCAGCTGCCCCAGAGCGAGCTGCTCGAGGGCCTGGAGCCCCTGGGCGTCATCCACACGGTGTCGGGCAACGAGCTGCCGTACATGTCTGCCGCGGACGTGACGGAGCACGCGAGGCTGCTGGACGCGCACGAGGAGTGGAATAAGAACAACGCGGTGACGGTGTCGGTGTCCTTCATGCCCGGCAGCGTGTCCATGTCGGCCTGGGGCCTCACCACCGAGGGTTACAAGTGGGGTGCGGAGAACAAGGACACGCAGAGCGACCAGCCGCAGGGCTTCACGCACACCATGGGCGAGAAGCGCAAGATGCTCCTGAGCCCGAGGTTCAAGGGCTTCTTCCTGGTGCCCGACGACGGGCGGTGGAACTACAGCTTCATGGGCAGCGCCTTTGCGGGCATGGAGAAGAAGCCCGTGCACGTGAGGCTCGACAACCCGTTGCCCTTCTACAACGACCAGCACCGGCCGGTGCACTTCCACAGCTTTGCCGAGCTCGAGGACATTTGGGTGGACCGCAACGACAACTTTGACTAGACGGCGCCGGGGAGCAAGGCCGACTGGCATGTGGAAAAGGGGGTTCCTCAGAGGACTCGCCGAGGCGGAGGGCGGACGCGGACGGGCTGAGGTCAGGCTGAATAGCTTCAGGAGCAAGGCCCGTGAGGTGATGGACGATCGGAGATGATGGCGAGCACATGCTTAATGCAGAGAGAACGGCGGCGTTTGTGTCTTTTTTTGGGACTGATGGCATGTCCACGGTCGGAGCATGTACTTTTTTGCCAGTGTACTTTTGTAAAAATATCCCACGGCTAAATTCGAAGAGACGAGGCAACAGCTTGTGACGCCGAAGGTCTGCTTTGTCATGATTGCTTGAGTGAGTCCGGGCCCGTGTGGTGGTTGGCCGTGGTGGTGGCGGCGCGTCAAGGGGACAGGCGGTCCGACGGGCAAGTTCTGTGATTAGCGGGAGAGTCGCAAGATTGGCGGTTTATGCATCGCATCCGGGACGGGCGGGAAGCGACGGCGGGCGGCGGGTATGAGAGAAAGAGAGAGATATACGAGGACAGAGGTGGAGAGACGAGAGCCACGTGAGGCGCGCCACGACCGTGATCGTGACCGTGACTGTGACCGAGGCGGGAGCGCAGGACAGGGCAGCGATGAGGTCACGCCGAGGCGAGTGAGTTGACGATGACATCAAGTCACGGCAAGCCACGTAGTGAGATAGACGTACCCTCTTGGCCTGGCTCTGGTTGTAGGGCGTACCCCTCCCCCTTCACGGTGGCAGAACGGTCTCACCGAGGCTTGGACCGTCTAGTTTGGTGGGCGCAACGGCGCAGCGCAGCGCCCTGTGCCTTTGTCTGGGTGCAACTTCCAAGGTTCCAAAGAAGCATCCAGCCAGAATCATCGAGTGACTGACAGGGCCCTGCCAGGGCCAGGCTGGGCCGGGCTGCACTAAAAAAGGGGATCGGGTACCTGAATTTAGTGAGCGGCGGTCGGCGGGCTAGTGGCGGGACCTGAGGCTCCTTTCGGGCCAGGCACCCGGGAGGGAGGCGTGGAGGCTCATCAGCGCTTCTCTCTGTCTGTGTCTTTGTGTGCGGGTTGTGGGCGAGCGCTCGCGTGGCTGAGGCTGTGCGCCGTTGCGTGTGGCAGGGTCGCTGCCGCGCAAGCCTGAAAGGGCTGAACGGCGTGGGCGGGGGGAGGCCAACCAGTATTAATTTCGACGAATTTCATGCGTCCATGCGAACGGGCGGTATCCAGGTAACTGTGCTGCACGCAGGGCTCTGAGCTGCGCCGAGGTGTGCGAATGGATGGGAGTGGTTTGTCATGTTCCCCCAGGCGCCCGGAAGAACATTGTGCTATTTTTTGTTGAGGACCAGATAATGACCGACGTGGGCTGCCACGTGCGTGCGTCGAGTGAGGCGGCAAAGGTCGGAAGAGCGAGTGACGGAGAGAACGGGACGCTGGGCTGTAACGTCGCCCCCATCTCTTTTAACAAGGCGTGAGCCTAGAGGGTGCGTTCGTTGCCAAACGTAACGTCAATCAATATATTCTCGCGGCATGCCCAAGTAGTAGTAGCTGCGCCAGCAACATACAGTGTCATCATGAACCAGGCAGGTCACATTGGCCGCCCGATCCCGAGGAGAAGGGTCGAGCCGGCAACAGAGCTCTTAGGATCGCCGTGCTATGGGCGTGGGTGCCGCCAAACGGCAGCGGTTCATCTGATGGGGAAGGGTGCCCGGGAACCAGAAAAAGGCTGGAGCGGTATGGGAATGGAATGGGCAATCTCGGGGCGGTCCCAGAGGGACGGACGGCATTGACGCCGCCAGAAGGGTGTAAATGGATTAAATTAAAGTGGTGTGGGCGAGCGTGTCAGACGCGTCGGGGGCTTGGGACACCGTGGCGTGGCCACGACAGAGACAAGGACAACAAGGGGAGAAGGGAGCCAGGAGGAGAGAAATCTCTGCCACCAAGTGCCGAGGCTGGGGTGAGCTACGGGGGCCTCGGAGAGATTCATGTCGAGCATGTGTGCCGGGTGAAGACTTGCAAAAGTCCACGGTCCGTATAGGCAAGTCCAGGGCCTTCAACCTCTACACCAGGAACACGGACCACGGAAGGCTGGATGAATGAGTAATAAGTGGCTGCCGGCTGTGGAGGGACGGCGCTCGGGAGTTGGCTCGGTCAGGCAAGCAGTCCGGGGGCTCTTTTGACAGCTTGGCCCGTGGCCGGAGCCGGGCCAGTCAGTCGGGGACATCGGAATTTTTTTTCCTGGGGTCCAGTTGATTTTTCTCGTACTCTGGGCTCGCTGGCCACGACGACGAGCTCGAGGCAGGGGGATCCCGGGAGACGCACCATCCTGTCATGTCGAGCTGGAGAGCCGGACCCATCGGGCCAGCGCGAGCCTTACCGCTCTAGCAGGGCTAGTTGCAGACGACAACCTTGGACAGGCGGCGGCGGCGGCGGCCGGCGCCATGGGGACGGGATGACATGGCCTGGGCTTGGGTCTTGGGATGGGATGGGACGACGGAGGGGGGAGGGATCGAAGGAACGTGAGGGATTCGACGCATGGCTTTCTGTGACGTCGGATGGGATGTTGCAAGACAGAAACCCGCGGATAGACGGCGTTTGCCGGTTGCGGGTGGAGGCGGCGACGAGCACGACAGCTCGCATTGACGTGTGCGGGTGAAGCTCACGATGCGATGGAGAAGGACGAGAGGTCGACGAAGAACAGAGGCGGACGACGGGCCTGGCGACGACGGCGACAGTTCGCGGCTGCAATCGCTGCGCGCGTCCCGGCGGGACCCCCAGCGGAGAACCCCAAGCCCTGCCAGGCGGGGACTCGTCAGAGGGACAGCGACTTGGCGGGCGGGGCTATTACTGTACCGTCATTATGCTCTTCAGGCTCGTACTTTGTACGACGGACGTGGGCGCTCCGTAGTGTTGCCGAATCTGTAGGTGCGTGGCCGGGTGGCGCTCGTGCCTGGTGCCTGGTGCCTGGCGCCGCGGTGCGTTGAAGACAGGATGTGAAGATGACGGGTGCAGAGGAACGAGAACCAAAGAAGAGGAGCCCTGGAGGAGGCATCGGACTGAGTTAGTACCTACGTACTAGGTACCTAATACCTGGTGGCTTGCGATGTTGGCTGTGCATTGGAACGGCGAGCCTACGGTCCCTCCTTCCTGCTGCTGCTGCTGCTGCTGCTGCTGCTGCTGAGGTTTTCACTGTACTTGGTCATTACCTTGCTTGCTTAACGAGAAGGTGCACCGTGGTGCCTGCTGCCGAAGCTCGTGCCCAGGCCCAAGGCGGACGGACAGTGAGGAAGGTGCTCGTACCCCGCAGGACAAGCGCGCCTGCCGTTTAATTACTGGGGCAGGAGCCACACGAACGGATGTCACGCTTGCCATGCCTGGCCTGGGATGGTGGGATCCTTGTTGATCCATGACCGGTGCGGTGCCATTGCCATTGCCACTGCCACTGCCACTGCCATTGATTGCCATCGTTATACCACTACCGCTTTTTGCCTGGGCTGGCTCCTCATCCAGACAGTCGCCTGGCCTCGATGTGCCTTCGCGACGTCAGCTGCCTCAGGCGGCCTCGGACGGCTGGCCACGGCCCTGTCGTCTCATTTCCCCCTTCCCGTTCACTTTTGTTGCTGCGACCGGCCCGTCCGTCGCCGTGCTATCAAGGGGTGCGGTTCATGGGGCTGCAGCCATGACCGGCCATCGGCCGTCATCACCACCATCCAATGCTCCACGATGCCGAACGCACAGCCGGCTCCATGGACTCGTGGGACACACCCACCCACTACGCTAGGCTACACTGCGCTACGGGCATGCTCCAGCCCAGATCAGCCCAGCCCAGCACTCATCCATGCGCTCGTCCTCGACGGGGCAGCCTGGGCTGGACGGAGCGGCTGCACGGCGGGAGGGCCATGGATCCGTGGAACCAAACTCTGTCGACGGCGTCCCCCTCTCCAAGGCCAACAACCTGCACATCCGTATCCTTGGCTCGTCCCTCGCGGCGCGCGCTCTCTTGGGCCCCGTCCCATCCGTTCCCACGACCCCACGGGCGTCGTCGGCGGCCCTTGCCTACCCTGACCTCGCCGTAAAGAGCCGCCCGCGCCTCCGGTGGAGAGCAAGACGCCCGAATCGGTCGTTGCCTCTTGTTCGGCTGAGGCGCCGAGCCCTCCTGGGATGCTGGGACTAGCACTCCTCGTCCATGCCGTTTCCTGCAGGAGCTAACAAGCCCGGACAGACAGCCACGGCGCCGCGCCGAGCTCTCTTGGGCGTGTCGCGCGAGAACCGCCCTGCGCTGCACGGCGAGCCATGGCATGGCATGGCATGGCGTGGGAGGGCATGGCATCGCACGGCCGTTATCGACCGTGCCCCATCACGATCGCCATGTCGCTGTCGAGCCGCCGCCGCCGCTTGCTTCTCCGCGTCTTCGAGACTCTCCGGCCCGGGTGGACAAGGCAGCTCTCTCGTCGGTGTCGCCTTCGTCCGCCGCCGCCGCCGCCGCCGCCTCGCCATGCGCTGTAACCGCCTGGCAGGCCTCTCTCGGCCACCAGCACGTCTTCCGCGATTGGATGCTCAAGACCCGGGCCGCAGCCGATCCCTCGTCATGCATGCCATCGTGCCCCGTCCGTGGCAGCTCTCGATGGGACCTTTCCTCTGCAAGTGGCAGCGGCTCCTACTTCTACACCCGTGGCTGCCGTCCCCCGAGCTGCCCCTGGTCCAGCGGCCCTTCGGCAATCTCTAGAGCACATATCTCGTCAATCACGTTTTCCTCCCCGCTGTCTTGGAATTGGACTCGCACTCTAGCGTCGCCGCCCGCGAGACCCAGCACGCGGACGCAGGCACCCCCCATCGTGCGCATATGATATAGCCCACCCCGGATGAGCTATACCCCCCTCCCTCATGGTACACCCTCCTCAATGCCCCCGCCGCCAACCTCTCTCGTCTCCACAGACCTCACATCAGAACGTGTATCCCTGGACCCTGCCGGTGGCGCTTGCACCAGCAGGAAATGGGGGACCTTGGCCTCTTGTCAACGCCCATGAGGGGGGGCTGGGAGGAGCGGCAGCGGCCAAGTCTCTGGCCCCCATGCCGGCCTTTGGCCCGCGGCAGAGGCCCGTACGAGGCAAGCACGGCGCTCCCATGTCCTGTCACGACCGTGGTTATCCAATGGCACAACCTCTGCAGACTTGAGAGCAGTCGGCACTAGCTTCGACGGACCCTGGCCCTACGGACGGGCCTGGGATCGCCGTTGCTGGCTCTCCATCCCGTCATCTCGAGGAACCAACCCCTGCCCGCCTTCGACATATGATGAATCCTTTATGCGCCCTGCCCCGTGCCACAGAACGCTGACGGAACAAGTGGACACCAGTATACGCACAAGTGGCATCATGGCTGATCGCGCTGGGCCCCCGGGGTTGCCGGCGGCCGTTGAGCCAACTCCTTCGGCCGCCCGCCCGCCCGCGGCCCGCAGGGCATGCCGTTGTCGTGAGTTTGTGGCATGAACTCTTTTAATTTTTCCCGATCGGCGCAGCCTAGGGCAGGTTAGGACGTGCCTCGGAGACACTTCCAGGAACGAAAAGCGCAGATGCAGGTTTCCCTCATATAGCATGGTCGTTCATATAACCTCCGTCGTCAACTCGGCCCGGGAGCCCCCCCAGGCGCCGCGCCCATACTAGCTTTGCCCTGACTTTGCCTCCCAACAAGCCTCAGATCCACCCGCTCTCACCAGCACCCTCTTGAATGTCAAGGCGCCTTGTCCGCCTTATCTGTCTTGGGCCCGCGGACGTGTATGGAGTACCTCGGTCGCTTTCCACTCGTTCGAGCTCCT